CACGCACACACATATATATATATATATATATATATATATATATATATATATATATATATATATATGTGTGTGCGTGCGTTTTTTTTAAGGTCGTCAGTAACAGACTAGAATAGATTATTCTGAGGATGGATATAAATACCTGCTTAATTAGCCGCCATGTCAGTTAATGATAATCGATCATTAAATCGAAACTTACCAATATTGAAAATTTTTCTCTTCTCTCAAAATTGATTTTCTTTTTCGATTTGTCTTTTGGATTCGGACAGCAATTCCAGGATTCGCCCGAAACTATGACCAATGGAAAAATAATTATTCATCAAAATTGTCTGTATTATTTCGGTCTGACATCGTGACGTCACATTGTCCTAGCCATTAATTATATATATATATATATATATATATATATATATATATATATATATATATATATATATATTAGGATACAAACATGTTTTCGGTGTAATATCCTAAAATAAAACAAATAATACTGGTCTTAAATTAAATTAAATGTTACGAACGTTGGAATTGTACTCTATTCGTTCTCTTCTTCCGTGGATTCATACATACATTATATTTATATATATATATATATATATATATATATATATATATATATATATATATATATATATATATATATATATACTATCGGGGAAATAATTTTCAAGAAGAGAACGGTGGAGTAAAATGAGTACGGATAAAAATGCTGGATATCCATATATATATATATATATATATATATATATATATAGATAGAGAGAGAGAGAGAGAGATAGATAGATAGATAGAGAGAGAGAGATGAGATAGATATAGATATATATTAATAAACAGACCACATTAAGGCTTCATAGGGATTATAATTTATTTATTTAGAATCGAAATTCGATTCTAATTCCTCATTTTCGATGTTTTAATATCGTGCTGTCTGGATTAGATTCTCCCTGGAATTATCCACACGGATTACCAAATACATCTCTATCTCTGTGTGTGTGTGTGTGTGTGTGTGTGTGTATGTATATATATATATATATATATATATATATATATATATATATATATATATAAAGACGACAGAAAAAAATCTTAAAGACGACAGAAATTTTCTGCGATTAAGATTTTTTTTTACATTTTTCTTCAGTTCTTACAAATGTTTTTTCTGGACACATGGTTTGTGGGGAATGTTTAAACGTTCTATAATTCCAAGCGCTTTCGGCTATACTTTTGGCCATTATCAATAATGATTTTATTTTTATTATTTAACTGGGTGTCTGGCTTCTGTGTATCTGTCTAGAATCATAGAAATGTTTGATTTTCCGAACACAACACACGATGGACGTGATCGCAATCAATTTTTTTGAGCGTTTATTTTTTTGTTATTAGGGCTTCCATTATTTTAAATCTTTTTTTTTTTTTTACATGTAGATAAAGTTATTATGTTTCTATTTTCTACTAGTATATTTCGGTTGGAGTCTGGAAAATTTTGTGTTTGTATTTAAACATCTTCTACGAGCGCTGTGTTCCGATAGGTGTAACGCAAGGCGAAAATATATTCACAAACGTCTCCGTCGATCAAACCATTGAAATTATCCTCAATTCTGCGTACAGTAATAATTCTATCCCTCCGCCATTAATCAAAATATTTACACTCAAAAAGTACTACATGCATGCACGACCAAAGTCCCATTTTATGACCATAATGGTAACATTTACACCTAAACTAACGGTGTTAGTATGGGAAATCCACTCGGCTCGTGCTTCTGCAACTATTACATATCCCATGAAGAAAACATGTTTAAACAGGGCTGTAAATATGTTAAACCTGACTCAGAAAACAGCGCTCACGGTTTATTTTCATTAAACAGAGCAAATTTTCTTTAAAATTGGAATTAAGATACCTTCAGTTCATTTTCACCTACGAATGTTAAAATTTTAAAATTAAAATTCGTAGACGAAAAATAACATAAAAATTTTCTACAAAAAATCAATGCACATCAACTACAAACACGATGAATGTTCACTTCGAAATTTCATAAAGAAATGCCTCAATTGACTCGAGCAAAAAATTCAAATTATCTATTAAAAAAACAGCTAACCTTCTCCTCAAAAATAATAACACATCAGCAAAATCAAAATTACAACGAACGAACATTATCTATGAGTTCAAATGCCCCTTAAGGAACATCCACTACCGAGAACTGAAACCCAGACAGTTACGATATATATATATATATATATATATATATATATATATATATATATATATATATATATATATATAATAAAAGGTAACAAATCCGTTAATTTATATTATAAGTGGATCCTAGTAATATAAAATATTAAAACTGATCCATAAAAAAGCTCAATGTATTTATAATGACAGAGCAAATAATTAATAAACAATAAAATCCCAAATCACCTCATATGTGGAATAGCCTATTTCGGTAGATATCGGTTGTGTGTCTTATCAACCCCGGTGTGGACTGAGTTCGTGTCAGAAAAGGAAATATAACTGTGAAAGCTAAAAAATAAACGGTCGAAAAACTACATACAGAATTTATGTTTCAATGTTTCAGTCAGACGAAAGGTACGAGACATTGCTCAGGAGAGGTTTGTCTTAAAGGAAAGAAGTTTCATACATTAAACCCGGATCTTAACCTTTATGACATTAATTTGGGGTTATGTGAAGAATGAAATATTAATTTAAAATTAAAAGTGGAATAAAAAGGGGTTTAAAAATAAATTTAAAATATATAGATGACAGGATGTAAGGGATTAATGGAAAGAGATTTGGGGAGATTTTAGATTAGGGGAAAGTTTATTAATTATAATTAATATAGGTAAAATGTTTATAGAGGGGGAGAAATATAGAAAGCAGAATTAGCTATACATTCGACATTTGAAAAGTTAGAGCGTTGTATATATCTATCTATCTATGTTTCTATCTATCTATCTATCTATCTATCTATCTATCTATATATATATATATATATATATATATATATATTAAATAAAAACAGACCACATTAAGGTTCCATGCGGTAAATTATTTCACCACAGCCCTTTTTAAAGGACTGCGGATCATCAGACTTTACTTCCAAAGGTTGAAACGAAATATCGTTTCGTTTCAATCTTTAAAGTAAGTCTGATGATCTGGAAAGTCTTTTAAAAGAACTGCGGTGATATAATTTATCGCATGGAACCTTAATATGATCTTTTTATTAAAATATTTGCTCTGGTTTTAAATTGAGCTCTCTGGATTTTATCCTCCATGGGTCAACCCATAGGGATTACCTAGTTTTTTCATAAACTAACTAACTTCTAACTATATATATATATATATATATATATAGTTGTATATTTAGGTCAGTTTTCCGTCTGAAATAGTCTATTCCCCATATGAGGTGATTTGAGATTGTTTGTTACACACACACACACACATATATATATATACATATATATATATCAAGGATTCAATTAAATTTTGGATTTAATGTAACTATAACAAAATAGTTCGTTTTTATTGTTTGCCTTGATAAAGTTGGAACACGAAGCGCGTCGGCAAAAACTAAATTTTTCCCAGATGTTATTATTATACCATAATAATAGCTGGTCACTCGTATCTGAGGATACGCGTCTGCTTGGGCGGCTAGCCAATTCCTATTAAAGGCGCCTATACCCTCCAAGCACATGTCCCCCTCTCCGTCTGTCTCATTCTACACACGCACACACACACACACACACACACACACATATATATATATATATATATATATATATATATATATATATATAATAGCTGGGCACTCGTATTCTAGGATAACAGTTTATTAGGGCTGCAAGCCAATCCCTATTGCAGACGCTCGCTCAGACACATTTGTGTTGGCTCAAAACCCAGGGAGCACACCTGTGATTTATACTGCAACTGTGCTGAGCAGACCTTCGTTATAGTTTCTGGGAGAGAGTGTGTTATCTAGAATGATGAACAATCTGAACAACACCAGCACACTCACACCCTCGGTCACGATGACTTGTGACTTTGTGCTAGCACAGCTATCGACGGTCGAAGTGTTCTGTACCCCAATTTCACAAGTCGTGGATCAACCATTGCTATTGTTCTCAGCCACTTTGCAAATGTGCCTCACGCTGGGATCGTCCATATATATATATATATATATATATATATATATATATATATATATATATATATATACCATAACGTATTTAACGGATTCATATATATATATATATATATATATATATATATATATATATGTATATGAAATTGGGGAAGATTCGGAAACGGATAATGTATGTAATCTTTATATATGTACATTTTATTTGTTCCAAATATTGTCATAGCTGATAGTGGTAGTGGATACAAGTTGCAAGTGTCTATAAAATATTCCCATGGCAAGCGTATCAAATAGCCTCTAACAATTTTCCAGTTTCAAGCGGGAGAAATGTGCGATGGCGGACTACTGGCGCCTAATAAGCAGCTTCTTCGGGGAGATGGAGTTCATCAGCTCAGTCCATCCAGGGGAAACAAGGCCCTTCTTTTAAAAATCTGCTGCTTTACGTTCATATTTAAACGCGCATATGGTCAAGGAAGTAATTCCAGATAAAAATAATCTGGAGTGGACCCCCGAAATCTGTTGGCTATCAACAATGACAATTTTCCGGCAACTCCTTCAGCTGAAGCGGACCAAAATGTCGTGCACTGTATACCTTTGGATCTTGACAGTACGGTCAAGGGGAATATCACGTGATTTGGACAGCTCAATATACCGTCACACATGCCTTCGTCCTGGAGAGGTCACTTCGGACTAAAAGACTGAATTTTAATCAAACAGGAAGTAACAATTATCTCACGAGAGAAACAGGTGTGTAGTACTATATGTAGGTATATATAAATGTGAATGTGGGGTGCGGTTAGGAGAATACATTTCTTTTATCAAGTACGTCCTGCGGGCGATTGGAGCTACACATTCAGGCCTTTATACATGCATATATACATACGAACACAGTACTTTTCTTTAAATCTCTCTCTCTCTCTCTCTCTCTATCTATCTATCTATCTATCTATCTATCTCTATCCAGAGGTGTCTATATATTTATCAGTGTAAGTTGCCGGTGCCGGTGGAAGGATTTCGTGCTCCCACCCCCAAACTATGAAACGAGCCAACAGCATATATTTATTCCGTGGTATATATATATATATATATATATATATATATATATATATATATATATATACATAAAAAGCTATGCGTAATGCTTTTTGAAAATGAAAAATCTTTCTTGAAGCTTTTATTTTAGTTTTAATTCCAAGCTAATAGACTAAATAGAATGTAAGATTTGTAATAAACAAAAATTATATGTTTTTTTTCAAACTGAATTTAGATTGATTGGAATTATTTTTAAATCGGCCATATTGACAAATATGTCGACACAACATAAATCTCTTTATTAAAATATCTTTCAAAAATAAAAAAAAAATACTTTCTGAAACTTAATCTGGATTAAACTAGATATTACTTTTAGTTTAAAATATCACAGAAAAGCTTTTTTAACACACACACACAGACACACACACACACACATATATATATATATATAGTTAAACCTAGAGAGCCAGACAAACCTACCAAGGTTTCAGCTAAGCGGATCGTCAGGAATGGCTGGCCAACCTTCCCTGACGATCCGTTTAGGTGAAACCTTGGTAGGTTTTTCTGGCTCTCTAGGTTTAATTAGGTCTGCTCTACTTACCGTATTCGGAACTTTATTTCGTTATTTTGCTTACTCATATCGGGATTATTTCTTTGGACTTGCATGCCAGACGATTATTTTCGGCTAACATACATGTTCTTTGTTCTTTCTTTTTTTTATACCTTTTTTTTTCTTTTGGTATTGGTTTAATTATTTGCAAATCAAGACACCGAAGGTTTTCCGGGTGAGTATAATTTCTTATACTTCTAAGATTATTACTCCTAATATATATATATATATATATATATATATATATATATATATATATATATATATATATATATATATATATAGTTATGGCTATCAAACAGGGCTGGTGCAATCTATGATACAAAGATCCCCTCCCTATTTTACAACAACTCAGTTTTCATCCGACTTTTTTCTTGTTAAAAAAGTTGAATAACAGTATTCATACAAAATACAAATTTTATTGTAACCTAATTATGTACAATAATGGATCATATGCAATGTAGGTGGACAATTCGATTAGAAAAAATTAAAATAAATCCAATGTATCTAAATACAAATTAGAGACATGTCATAAACTGATCCATGCCATCTTTAATCAATAATGTTTGGCGGTATATTTTGACACCGTCTTGAGATTATTTCTTGTTAAAAAGTTGAATAATTATTCAACATTATGGATAAAAATACTGAATTTTATATAGTGTTTTTTTTTTGTTTTGTTTTTCGAGATTTAGCATGCGCGAAACAAAATGGCGGATTTCGACAAAATAAAAAAGTCCCGAAAATTACTTCAAAATCTGCAAAAACTTTTAATCTTTTAATAGTCAGTTTGTGTTTATATTTTAAACTGCAACTTCCATAGATGTAAAATAAAAAATAAGAAAATATTAATAATACAGCGTGGTTAATACTGACCGGAGACGTAATTGTGATACCCCCTCCCCTTGTCGGGTGATTCGGGTGTGGTACGTGCCAATCCTGTATATATCTTCGTCACTCTAGATTGTTTAATACTATTAATAAGAAATTTTAAAAAAAACTTATAAAATAAACGTAGCTTCAAGTTGCATCTCCAAATTCGATATATCGTTTTTCATGGACGTCGTTCTAACTAATTCACACATAGAAGACAGATGATTAAACGAGAAACAGACAAAAACAACAGATGGCGGAAAATTTAAAATAATTAAGGGCAATTTTTTTAAAAAATAAATAAGCAAAAAAGGACAACAGACGACTAAAAGGCCAACATTGATTTGAAAAAAAAAAAAAGAAAACATATTTACAATAAAAAAAAAAATGGTAAATACATGAAAAAATTAAAAAAAAACAAAACTAATAAAAAAACAAAAAATATCTAAAATATGCTAATTAAATTACGAGATGGACGCCTCAGGTTTCATCCGGAAGTGACATCATCAGTTTAAATTCAAGATGGAGATTTTTTCAACCAAGTAATGTAGAAAACAAAACTCTATTTTCTTTTTATATATATATATATGTTTTGTGTGTGCATGTTTACATTAAGAATATTTTGCCGCTCTTAATCTTTTTTATCCTTTTCATTTGCTTTGAGATGCTAAATGAAAAAAAAGACGAAGCAATAAATGAAAGAGCCAACCATATTAGAATCAAACGGAGGCAAAAGCGCGAAAAAAACTTGGAAGATGGCGAAAATGCTTAACGTTCTTGTCATTAACGATAAAGACGTACGAATCATACACAGGATTACAAATCCACCCATATATATATATATATATATAT